ATCCCTTTGCTGGGGGTTAGGCTCCAACCCTGCTCTTCCTTTCTGTCCAACGGGACACCAGCTCTCCCAGGTGAGGGCTGTGCGAAGGGTTGGGGCCGGTTCCTTCCAGTCTTACCCCAAAACGGCAGCGGGGAGCAGAAACCGGGACAAACCGGGCAAGGGGAGGGGAGCTGGGATCAGCACCGCGCCCCACTCCATCGCAGGCGCCTCCGGGACAGCAGGAGCTTTGCCGGTCAATAGAGACGCTAATGCCTTAATTACTCTTCGGTAATTGCAGCCCATTAACCTGTGGACAGCCCCAGCGCCCATTGATCTCCTCACATCATTAACAGGTCTGGGCTGGAGCCGGGAGGGATGGGAGGGCACGGTGGTCCCTGACACGCTTCCCAAATCCTTCCGCTTCCCACAGCCCGGCAGCGACCTGCCCACCGGCAAAACCCCGCACCGGGGCACCCTCCACACCTCGGCGGGGGTGGCATCGGCGGCGTCTCTTCCTCCCGAACTCCGGTGCCCGCAGGGAATCGCGGAGGGAGTCCTGGAGTGTCCCCGTCTCATCCCGTGGCATCGCTCCGCCGGGACACACCTTCCCCCAGCCGGGCTCTCGTGGGTGCAGAGATTCCCGGGAAAGGCTCTGGGTGCCAGCCCCGAGCCCCTCGGACCACAGGCACAGCCAGAGGTGGCTCCGGCTCACCCAAAAACCCCAAAGGCGACCGCGGTGCCACCCCCGCGCCGCCCCCTCCGAGGAAACCGCGTCCTCCCTAGCTCAGCATCGGAGCATCCCAAAATTTGGCTGTACAGCAGTTTCCTCAGCGGGAACAGCGGCCCGGCTGGGGGCATATATATACAGATATCCATACATATATGTAGAAAACACATATCTGGACGTATTGTGTAATATATATGGATCTATTGTATAATAGATGTATATATTTGGGCACGGGGGGTGCGTATGGACAGAAATACCTCACAGAGATGGGCGTCCCTGCCTGTCACCCCCCACCTGGGGCTGATCCCTTCCCTCCTGCCACCCCACAGAGAGGGGCTCGGACCCCTCCAACCCCCCCCAGGCCCTACACCTGCTCCGGCCCCAGGGACGGGCCGAGCCGGCGGCGAGCGGAGCAGACGAGGGGGCTCTGCCGGGGGCTGGTGGGCGCAGCAGGCCGGGGGATGAATTATGCATGATGCTGCAAGTCGCTCTGCCTCCCTGACTGGTCCTTGGACTGTGGCAAGTGAGGTAAAGGCAGGAGGAGGAGGAGGAGGAAAAAAAAAACCCTGCTCTCTCCGGGGAGCGGCGCGGTGGTTGGCAGCGAGCGAGGGAGCGCGCACGCAAAGGAGGGAGGGGAGGGAGGAGCACATCCTAATGCAGAGATGCTGCAGTGGCTCTG